CGGGGGAGCCCCGGGGCCCGCCACAGACAGAGGCTGCTCCATGGCAGCTTCCCCTGCCCCCTCTCCCATGTTGCTGCCTCTGATAGAGGCAGCAGCATGGCGGGCAAGTGGCTTCACGAAGCTGGCATGTGCAGAGACCCAGCTTGAAAGCTGGCTCCCCACATGTGCTGGCTCCTGCCTGCCCACCTCACCCTCCACACTGCTGCCTCTCTATCAGAGGCAGTAGTGTGGGAAGGCAGGGGACAGGCAGCTCCACAAGATCAGGTGCTTGTGGGGAGTCAGCTCAAAAGCCGGCTCCCCATGTGCAGTGGCTCCTGCCTCCCCGCCCCCTTGCTGCCTCTGATCCAGAGGCAGCAAGAGGAAGGGAGTGTATGAGTCATTAAGATTAACCAATAAGCCCAGGCTTACTGGCTAATTGTGTAGTAGACTACACATTTACATCTCTAATACCCATTAGTTTTTTTTTTTTTTTTATATAAAGAATCCCACATCGATTCTCTTCTGACTTGCCTAGCCATCTATACCTGAACTGAATGAGTATAAAATGCTCCCAGCTGGGTAAGTGAATAGAAAATTCTAATCTGGTTGGGTTTTATACAGCTGTGAAAGAGACAGTCAAGAGTTAGACCTGTTTTTACTAAGAATTAACAACTGCACAATAAATGACTGAGTTGTACATGCTGCAGATGGGATTAGTGACAGTAGGGTACAGGCCATCCAGTTAAAGCTGCAGCTGGTTCAAGAACACTATTGAGTTATCTTCGGAAGCAACCACACTTTGCACAAAGTCTGGGAATCTGATCGTGTTGCCAGCACACATTATTGGTTACTAATGAGTTCCTTTTATTAAAGGGACTCTCTCCAGCTGAAGGCAGGAGGACAGCAGCAATAAAAATCCTGAAATGCACACACCATGTAATTCTTAAGACTGTCTCCAGTATAGATCATTTCAGTGGGTGACGGGAAGGAGATGAATGTTCCATCACAGTTCCGGGGTAACTACATGTGTCTTGCCTCTTGCTGGCTCGCTGCAAGAGTATCCTGTCAGGTCTCAAATCTCCAGCCATCACTAGTCTTTGGGTAGAGTCCTTGGGTCAGTCTTTTCTGACCAGGGGTTTAGAGGCTCCACAGCCCCCTGTCTCATGCTGTGCTATCTTCAGCAAGCCAGTCTAATGGCCAGTGCCTGTGTGTTGTTTTCTCTCCGCAGGCTATCGCCAGTGCATTGCCAGAAGTTACAAGTGACCGTTCAGCTTTTTCTACATAAGCACATTTATTCCCTAGGTAAAAGCATTACAAAAAATAAAACAGACTTAAATACTCACAAAACATGCCAGGAGTCACTCTCCAGTCTGATGGGCCCCTAATAGACCAAAGTCTTTCCAACCATTCTATAATAACTGCTCCTGCCCTTAACAGTAGGTCCTGTTTGCTGGATCAGAAAGGAGACCCTCAGCCAGTTCAAACTTAGCCCTTTTATACCAAAAGCCTTTTCTCTGCCTGAGTCTCTGGAAAAACCAACCGGAACCAGCAAATGCAAAAACCCTGGTGGGAGAGAGGGAGCTCCTCTGGAGTTGTTTACAATCCCCACAGGTAATCACCACTCCACACACCCCAGTTTTATTTCCTGGAGGAGCTGCGATAACCTTCCCCCATGCAGTAGAACACAGTGGTGTAAAAACCATTCTTACAGTTAATACACTGGTCCCAAAGATGCTACATGGGGCTGTAATACCTGCCACAGCTTTACCTGCAGCAGATATGAGATGTTACCTCAGGAAAGGATCTGTGAGTGCTATTATTAGTCAATGAAACCAGGATAAATAAAGGTACTCAGGTGCCTAGGTTCAGAACCCTTGCTTCCAGTTTTATGCTCCACTGTGATCCACAAAACTCCCACTGAAGCCTGGCAGTGTCTAAACTCACTCAACAGCTATGTTTTCAGGGTAATAGTTCTTGCTGCACCCAAGTTTGTGCTTTTGAGCTTTCACTCTACTGCCTCCCTCCTGCCTAACCCCAGAGTGATTCACAGCCTGCAGAGATGGGGCATTTAGCCATCTGTCTCATGCGGGGCCTGATCTGGTAGGCATACTCAGAGGCCACCTACCAAAAGGTCCCATTCAAAACCTGGTCAGAGGAGGTGCCCACCTTAAAACTTTTAGCCTTTGTGAGAGAGCTAAGTACAATTCCCCCACTTTTCTTGATGGGGAGAAAAGATTTAAACTAATGTCTCCGCCAACCATCACCCTATAGGACAGTCTGCTGTAAGATACACTCCATCTTTCCCATTGAAGTTGTTGCTCTGTGTATAAATTAGTCATAGAGCAGGGAACAAGACCCTGGTCTCTTACCTGGTACCCTAATCAGCAGGCTCTAAAGCAGGGCTGGGCAAAACGTGGCCCAGGGGCCACATCTGGCCCTCCTAACACTTTGATCTGGACCACAGACTGCATCTGGCCACTTTCTATTTATATCCTGCTGCCCATACCACCAAATTCTCAGGTGGCAGCAGGATCCTATTTAAATGGCTCACAGTGGTAGCACTTCCTCAGTAGTGGCAGGTGCCATGAGCCCTTTAAATAGCC